TTACTATACTGTCCTTTTTTCTAAACGAGGAATCTGCTGCACAAAGAGTTTAAATAACTTGTCCTCAGTTAAACAGCTAGTAGGTGGTACAGTTACACAGCCTGTGTTCTTAACCCACACTCTATGTTAGTTAAAGCCATGCAATACCAAAACCTGCAGGTTTGGGGACGCCTGGGGGGCTCAGTCAGTTAAGCATATGAACCTTGATTTTGGCTGAGGTCATAACCTCGGTTCATGAAATCAAGCCCCATGTTGGGCTCTGCATTAGTGGGGAGTCGGCTTGAGAGTCTCTCTCTCTCACTGCCCACCCCCTGCTTGCTCTCTCTCTCTCTAAATAAATAAATAAAGAAATAGAATCTTTAAAAAAACAACAACTGGGAAGTTAAATCATGTGCAACTATCAACCACATAAATTTTTCTGACAATATAATTAACAAACAACTACAGTTTATTTTTTTATTTTATTTTATTTTTTAAAGATTTTACTTATTTATTTGACAGAGACAGAGATAGCGAGAGAGAGAGAGAGAGTACAAACCTGGAGGAGAGGGAGAAGCAGGCTTCCCGCCGAGCAGGGAGCCCGATGTGGGGCTTGATCCCAGGATCCCAGGCTCATGACCTGAGCCGAAGGCAGACGCTTAACCGACTGAGACACCCAGGTGCCCCAACAACTGTAGTTTAAATAATTATTTATATTTTTGACAAGAACCTTTACAAGTGGTTTTTACCTTATCCCTGTTAGCTTAATATAGCACTCTGGAAATAACAATTTCTACAATGCTTTCTTTTGATATATAGGATTCTCTAGATTTTTTAAATCCTCAGATATTATCTCTTTAATTATCTTTTTGACTTTTGGAATATTATTTTGTCAAAAGATAATATGTGGCCTTGAATTGGCAATCTCTCAAGGATTGATGGCCATCTACCTTTCTGTGACATCTCAAGCTATAGCTATTGATAGACTATTGAGCTGGTAAACAGAGTACTAATTACAGCTAAATGTAATTATAATTAATGCTGTATGGTCGTTCAAACTGAAATGTGACACTTGGAAGAATATTTATATTTTAATTGAGAATACTTCTATCTCTTAATAGTCAAGGATCCACGATTTGGCAATGATGCTAGTCCCTTTAGTCTTCATCCTATAAACCTTACGATGTGTGTCTTAATGCGGCTGGAGTTAATTTACTGCAGTTTGCCCTGTTGGGGAGTATTTGGTATTTCACTGATGCTTTTAGATTTCACCAAAGGCAGTAGCCAGTATAGGTCATGTGGAAAGGATTCTACCTCTACCCTGCTTTCCTGAAGAGCTGTACGGTTGTGTAGAAGTCCAGTTAAAGGTCAAGTCTAACTATCCAAAGGTCAGGAAGTATTCAGCAATTATCTGTGCATTCGAGCCCTAACCTTTGAATGGGATGTACCCATCACTTCTGTCGAATCATTTCTTATTGAGAAGAGCCATCAGTCCCCCAATCTCACCCCGTTTCTCTAGGGAGGAAGAATCTTTCACAGCTTACAGATAAAGACACTGATGCTGGGCTCTCCCCACCATAGAACTTTTTTTTTTTTTTAAGATTTTATTTATTTATTTGACAGAGAGAGACCCAGCGAGAGAGGGAACACAAGCAGGGGGAGTGGGAGAGGGAGAAGCAGGCTTCCCACGGAGCAGGGAACCCAATGCGGGGCTCAATCCCAGGACCTTGGGATCATGACCTGTGCCAATGGCAGATTCTTAGCTGACTGAGCCACCGAAGTGCCCTCAAGCTTTAGCACTTTATTTATTTATTTATTTTTAAAGATTTTATTTATTTATTTGACAGAGAGAGAGACAGTGAGAGAGGGAACACAAGCAGGGGGAGTGGGAGAGGGAGAAGCAGGCTTCCCTCCGAGCAGGGAGCCCGATGTGGGGCTCGATCCCAGGACCCTGCGGTCATGACCTGAGCCGAAGGCAGACGCTTAACGACTGAGCCACCCAGGCGCCCCAGCCAACACAGAACTTTTTAGCGCCGTGACTGCAGCAGTCACGGGGAGCGTGCAGCTGTACCAGCCTGGGCTCGGTCTCGCTCAGGACACTGTCACTGTCAGCCTGCTTATTGTTTGGGGTCGGAAGAAGCTTGTTAACCATCTGCCTCATTGGCTTGATAGGCAATAACTTCTCGTTACATATTTTCAGCTCCTGAATATTCTACGATACACCCTTGGAAAACGAGGCATACTCTCCCTTTACTCAAATTCATAAAGTACAATTGAAGAAAATAAAATCCTAACTCTGCAGATCTGTTGGTCTCACTTTCATCAATACACGCACATACGGGTCCTGTTAAAGATTTTAATAGACTCAGCAACTGATGAAGGAACCTCTACGATATTTGAAAAACCATCTCAAAGGAGAATTCCAAGAACACACACACAAAGACAATTAGCAACACTGACATGAATTTGATAAGAGATGCCAAAGTCATCTTTAGCCACCGGGCAATCATCAGTGGTGTTTCCTCCCCACAGAGGTCACGTGTGTTTCCGTGGTCAGGGATCACCTGCCTGCTATCAGTTTTCTACAACCTTCTGAGTAGTAAAGTAGCTCAAGGACAATGAAAGGCACAGACTGTTACCCCATCCTTTAACCACGAATAGTGTGCTAGACAAGGAAGGATAACTAAGTAATTTTTTTTTCTTTGCCCAGGGGAACTTCAAAAGTTTTCCTGACAATAAAACTTACAAATTAATTATTTCTTTCTTTTTAACGTCTCCCCTCCAGCAAAATAATCCAAGTAAAATCATCACCACTTTTATTGTATCACAGTACTTTGTAATTTGTTAGTTCTCTAAAATTTTGATACCTTACTTATGGAAAGTATCTAAGTTTTGGAAAATGCACACTTTTATGTAAAACACAGATTTATGTTTTATTCTGAATGGCCACTGTATATCTTCTTAGATTATAGTTTAAGTAGTTTCTTTTTAATAATTGATTTTTTGTAGTGACAAAAATATATGAATGGGTTTAAAATGCAATTTCCTGGTTATTTTGATAAAGTGACGATCAGTTCACAGGCATTTGTCTGACAATATAAAGGTGACCCTGAAAAGACTTCTCTTAACTTGCATTCAAGATTGTAAAATGTTCTCTCGATCTTGTTGAAAATGATTTCAAATCAGTTTGTGGCTTGTTGAAAGTACGGCATCAAATGCAAATGATAGCTGAAATATACCCTTTAAGTTTTATAAATAAGTAGTTTTATAAAATAATTTGTAAAACATTTTAATCGGAGATCATTTTATTGTGTCTGGGGACACATATGTGGTCTCTGAGCACGAGAGAATGATTTCTTTCTCTTTGTCAAATACATACAGGATCTAAACTGAAGATAGAGGCTCTTCACCCATCACTTGTATAATCCAAAATAAGAAGTGAACATGCTCCCAAGCCTCTTTCATGTTTATTTCTTGAGTCAAACTGTTTGACTACTATCTCAAGAACACCAAAGAGTGTAGCTAAAGGAAAATGGTCAGTGTATGTGTGCACATGTGTGTGTTGCCAGTTAAAACAGAGGCGCCTATGTATAGCTCTTCTCGGTGCCCTGAGGTCTGGATATTATGAAGCTCATTTTTGTCCTTTGTATTCCAGGCAAAGATTACCTTTCTTCCTTAGTTCACTCTCTGTTATTTGCCACCTCTGGAACTCAGGAGAGATCAGGTCAAAGGTGATGGTGTGCTCTGAGAGACTGAACTGATACCTAGCTGGTAGCTGGCTGTTGCCTGTTCACCATCAGAGCAGACATATATAGGTGCATCTACGTGAACTGAATCTCACGAGACCCGGATTGAAGGGCCAGCTGGTTGGCCTGCTGATTTGAGGGGGAGGGGGGAGGTTCTTTTTTTTTCTCTTTTGGGGCAAGAGAGAAGTCTACTTTTTAAACAGGTAATTATTGAATCAAGATTTGTGTATGTGTCTTGTATTTTGGGGGAGTGTCTAACAGTAGGAAATATGATTGGTTTCCCAAAGAATGTTCCAGGATACTTGAGCAGAGGCAGGACTGAGATGAGGCTGGCAATCTAGAAGAGCATGTGGATCAGGCAGCTATCTCTCAAGCCAATTCTTGAGCCAATAGCAAGATATCTGGGAGGCTTATAAAATTTACAAATATAGATCATTTCCGGTTTCTTATATTGTTCTTTCTACTTCAGTTTCCATTATGCAATTGTCCCCAATATTTTTTTTAAAAAATACCAATCAGTATGTTAAGGTTAAAAGATACCTCTCACCTATGAGATCCTTCCAGATGAAACAATGTAGGTAGAGCAATACAGTGGGATTATTTTAAAAGATGTCCCACTCATGAGGCCCTGGTTTATGGGAACACAGAGCTGTACTGCATGATGGAAAACCCTTCCCTGATGTGATGGCTCCTGGACATGAATTCAGAGGTGAATCCAACACCTCCAGAGTAATTATAACTCATAACTTCCAAACAACATTTATTTTTCTCCTACACGAGAACTTGGTAAAATTTTCTCCAACTTCATATAGATTTCTCTGTTTTCCATTTAAACAGCAACAACAACAACAACAAACAGCAACAACACACATTTGAACATGAGCATGTACATAACGGAGCTTAATTAAATTAATGCCACTTTGATTCACTGTTTAAAATGTATCCCCTAGTTAATAGGCATAACAACTTGCCCCTCAGGAAGAGACAAAATGCCAAGATCCACAGGTGTACACAATTATTTTATAGCTTGCATTCATACTTAGTCTTACTCTTGATTTTGATCTAATGATGGCACACATCAGGGCAAGCCAAGCTTTCAACAAGTGAAAAATTCTTTCCAAAAACAAGAACTATAAGTGAAGCTTTAATTAAAGAGATTGCAAATAACCAGTCCCTATTTTACAACATGCCAATTTTATGTCTATCTAACACAATGGAGAATGGTCCTTGCCCTCTGTAAGTGTATTAGTTTTAAGCGTTGGTGGGTGTGCATACCTTGGTAGACAGCTTTAAATCCAGGGGAGGCAATGCTATCATCCGATTGCAGGTGGAGCCACATCTGGTTGCTCATGCTCACAATGAGGTCAGGAACGCTGGACCCAGTGAGTCTGCACAGAAGAGAAATGTTAAAACCATTATTTGAATCACCAAGTATCTCTACTTTACCTTGAAGAAGACGGTCCTGCTGCTTAAACAAACAGCTATACGTATATGCCTTAAGACCCTCCTTTGAAGAATCCATAGTCACTTGTAATTTATATTTAATCCTCTACATTACAGGCATTTTATAGTAATTATTCTCTTCTCTGTTTGAAAGTGTACATCTTCAGTTTTAAAAAGTGACTTAGGGTGACCAACCACCTTATTTGTCCGGAACTGAAGGGCTTCTCTAGGTGCAGGACTTTTAGTCCTGAACCCGGAACAGTTGGTGATCCCATGTGAAGGAGAGGGATATCTTATTGCTCTATGGGTTGTATTGTGTCACACCATCAACATCTCTAAGCTGAGGAATGTTCTGGTTCATTCACAAAATGCTTAGATTTTCCACTTTGAAATTATCATGTACCTTTATCACAAAATCTCTTTTAGAAATACATCATAGGATGGAATATTATTCAGCACTAAAAAGAAATGAGCTGGTTTTATCATGTCATGAAAAGAAACTTAAGCTACATACTGTGTGATTCCAACTCTATGTCATTCTGGAAACAGCAAAACTATGGAGACGGGAAAAAGATATCAGAGGTTGCCTCGGGTGGGAGGAGGGATGAAGAGGTGGAGAACAGGAGGAGTTTTAGGGCAGTGAAACTACCCTATATGATACTGTAATGGTCAATACATGTCTTTATGTGTTGGTCCAAACGCATAGAATGGAAAGCAGCACGAGTGAATCTCAATACAAACTATGAATTTGGGGTGATAATGATGTGTCAAAGTGGTTTCATTAATTGTAACAAATGTACCAACCGGTGGGGACTGTTGATAGTGGGAAAAACTGTGTGTAAGGGGACAGGGGATTACATGGAACGTATCTGTTCCTTCCTCTTAATTTTGTTATGAAATAAAACAGTTCACACACACACACACACAAAACCAAAGTAGCCATATATTAAGAAAATATCGACAAGAAGAACAGCATGCATGGCTGAAATAGATTTGGCGATTTTATTGAACTTTCCCTCTGCAAATCAATGTCCAGGTCACACCAAATGGAAGTTTCAACGAAGCATGCATTGCATGTGAATAAAATAGTCACAGAGGGGCCGCTATCAGCCAGCACAGAGAAACACTAAATCCACTGACTGAACTCAAGATGCTGACAAAAAAGCATGTTGAAATAGAAAAAGTGTAAGAAAAAAATCAATTCAACCAAAATAAATGTCTCTAATCAAATAGGAAGCTTTGCTTTCAGCAAAGTACTTTCAGGAATATGAACACATGATTCACCCCATCAATCATATGATTTGTCTATCAACCCAATACACTCACCTGGGGCAGTACAGAAAACCTGCTTCTTCAAAGGAAGATGAACAATTGTCATTACATGGGAAGTAACTCATGCAATGTTACACACCAGTTGGAAAAAAAAAACAAAAAACACCACCACAGAATTTCAGTGAGTAATATGCAGTCCCTAAAAATATATTTCTTTTTTTTTTTTAAAGATTTATTTATTTATTTGAGAGAGCGAGAATGAGAGAGAGAGAGAGAGAGAGTACATGAGAGGGGGGAGGGTTAGAGGGAGAAGCAGGCTCCTCGCCGAGCAGGGAGCCCGATGCGGGACTCGATCCAGGAACTCCAGGATCATGACCTGAGCCGAAGGCAGTCGCTTAACCAACTGAGCCACCCAGGCGCCCCCTTAAAAATATATTTCTTTTTGAAGATTTTTCTTTGTTAGGAGATTGTTCTTTTATATTTGGTGTTTTATTTGCTTGTTTGGTTTGAAGAGACTTATTTTCTTCCCTATGCATGCCTTTTATTGAAGTGCAACATACCAAAAAGTGAACAGAACATAAATGTCTACCGTAAATGTCTGTTTACTTTCACTTAGGACTATAAAGCCACAACATTTTTCTTTTTGTTAGTCCTTACCAGAAGTATCTTTTCCTAACCTTTTACTTTCAAGTTACTCTATGTATATACATTGCATATTTGTCTCTTGTAAGCATAATTGATTTGTATTATTTTTATATTTTATTTATACTCTTATCTAATCAGAGAATTTCACCTTTTATTTAGAATATAATTTCATGAAAAATGAAAGTTCATTTTTCCTGGTTTTCCTTTTTTGATTGGTTAATTATCTTTGACTTAACCGTCTTACCTGATAGCTTTTCTTCCCCCCCAACCCTTCAAATATGTCATTCTGCTGTCTTTTTATTTCTGTTGTTTATATTGAGAAGCATTCTATCAGTCTTATATTTGCTCTTTTGAAAATATTTCTTTGCTTATACTGATTTTAAGATATTTCCTTGTCCTGTTTTGCAGCAGATTTATTGTAATATGCCAGTGTGAGGTTTTCTTTGTATTATCCTGACTGGCTTATGGAATTTCATGAATCTCTACCTTGATGTCTGTTGTCAGTATTGGAGAGTTCTTAGTGATAATGTTTTCAAATATTGGTCACTCTCTTTCTTCCAGAACTCCAAGTATACCCATCATTTCTGTGCATTTTTCCCTGATTCAGCTGGAATATTTTTTACTCAACTATCTTCCAGTTCAAACCACATAGATTGAGGTAACTATAGCAGATATTGTATTGTTCAATTCTTAAACTTCCATTTGACTTGTTGTTATATATTACAGTTTTCTGGTAAAATTTTTGATTATTTCATTTATTTTTAAATGTATAAATCATAGGTAATTATCGAAGTCCCTGAGTGTTAATTGCAATGTCTGGATATCTTGTTCTTTTTCTATTCTCTCTCTCCTGGATTGGAGTCATTGGGCACTGTTTCTGGACATTTCAGGTAATTTTTGTTTAATGCCAGACATTGTGTATAAGCTAACCTTGAAATTATGTATACTGTTACCTTCCCCTGAGAGGATTTAATTTTCTTCGGACAGTGGAGTGACCACCTTGACCCATTCAGGCATTGGAATGATTCTCAGCTGCATTTACAGCATGTGGTTTTCCCAGTGCTCACCCTTTCTTATGTCGCAATCCAGAGAATATATTTACTAGTAGATCTCCTTAAAAAAAAAAAAAAAAGGTCCTGGACACCATATTTGTCCTCTTAGCCCTGAAAATTCCAAAAGTTCTGCTGAGCTCTGTAGATCTGTAGCAGCAAATTTTTGCTTGGGTTCTTTTCTTCTAATCCTGGGAAAGTTAGGCTTAGGCAAATACATCAAGGACCAAAGCCAAGCAGATGCCAGGCTTGTTATCCTGTAACTCCCTTTTCCTTGATAACTTGGACCCTCAAGTCCTCATTGTTTTGATAGCCCAATTCAGGGGCCCCCACACCCCGTGTCTCCCAAAACCATATTCTCTTAGTCACTGATATCTGTCTGCCAGGGTGCCCTAAACTGAGAAGAAAATGCCCCCGGGAGAAAGTGATTTATGAAATATGAGATTCATCTTAATGCGTATCTGTTCTTCTTTGATTTCTACCTTCTAAAATCCTGGCTGCCTTATATTATTCTCTTATGCCTTGAAAGATTTGCCTATTCATTATATATTCAGCTTTCTTAACTATTCTCAGCAGGGGTTATGTCTGGTATTTCTGGAGGAACGGGGCTCCAGGTGCTCATTTTCTATCTGGCTTATTTCTTTTCCTTTTTTATTTCTCTTGGATTACATTCTCTAGACTATGTGAATATATGAAGGTAAGTCTGGTCTTACTCATAGCCATTATAAACAGTTACTTGTTGTATCTTAGGTTAAATTCACTGTTTTGGGTAGGTGCCTGGCTGGCTCCTTTGGATGTAACTCTTGATCTTGGGGTTGTGAGTCTGAGCCCCATGTTGGGTGTAGAGATTACTTAAGAATAGAATCCTTTAAAAATCACTGCCATGGGTAAGAAAATGAATAGAAAAGGACAAGTATCATTTTGTCATAAAGTTTATATAAACGTAATAAAAAGTATAACCACTGATCTTTCTTACATGCTAATATATATTGACTCTTGAGTTACATGTAAGATAAATAGAAGAGAATGCCTTTTTCTTCCTTTTTAATTTTTTCTTTTTTATCGAAGTATGTTTGACATGCAATATTGTATCAGTTTCGGGTGTACAACATAGTGATTCAACAACTCCGTACATTATGCAATGCTCACCATCTGTCCCCATGCAGCGCTATCACAATATTGTTGACTATATCCCCTATGCAGTTCTTGTCACCTTTGTGACTTATTTATTTTACAACTGGAGGTTTGTGCCTCTTAATCCTCTTCATCTATTTCATCCACCCTGATTCCCCTCCCTGCTGGCAACCACCAATTTGTTCTCTGGATTTATGAGACTGTTCCTGGTTTTGTATTTATCTGTTATTTTATCATTATTATATTTGGATTCCACATATAAGTGAAATCAGATGGTATTTGTCTTTCTTTGACTTATTTCACTCAGTATAATACAATCTAGGTCCATCCATTCCATCCATGTTGTTGCCAATGGCAAGATTCCATTCTTGTTAACGGCTGAGGAATATTCGTGTGTGTGTGTGTGTGTGTGTGTGCGTGTGCGCACATGTGTGTGTACACACCACATCTTCTTTTTGGCATTTATCAACATTGCTTGGAGTTGGAGTCAACACCCCTCTGATCTACATTCCTCATGTCCACTCTCCAGTCACCTGCTATACCCCCTGGACCTTGAGATTCATGACATTATTCAACCCCACTCCACTGCTTATCTCTGTCATCTCCTTCCTGCAACCCACCTGGTGACTGCCATCATTACTGTGAGAGTGTCCACATGGATAATGCTGGTAAACGATTCATAGTTCCTTGATCCTTTCAACTCCAGGGACCCGACCCTCCCCTCCATTTAAAGTGAGATGCTGGTCATACCTTGTACTTTGCTACTCTGTAATAAAAATCCTAGCCTCTTCACCATTCTCTCTGACCACCAGTGTCCTTTAACTGTCATGTGCTTGCATTCCACT